CATCCATTATTTTATTAGTTTTTTCTTTTTTTCATTTAGCAAATAGACTTATTATAAAATAATCAATCATTTATAATTATTTTATTCTGTCTTTGACATAAATAAATTAAAATATTCCATTTCTTCCTCGTTTTTTCTTTTCCATTTTTTTTTCTCTTTCCTTTTTTGATAAATTTGAAATTAATTAAATTTTTCTAGTCATGTTTTGCTAGTATACGTAGTAATGGTCGTAATTTCATCCACCATTGTTCCATCGGTAAACGATGAGCAAAATCAACATCATTCATTAATTCTTCCACCGGTGTTAAACAAACATATTTACCAATTAATCCTTGTAATGTTGCTGTACCCGAATGATAAACATTTGTCTTTTTATATTCTTTCATTTGCCCGAGAAGATGTACCACTGCTCGTGCACCCATTTTAGCAGCAAAAAGTCGATCAAATGGTGATGGATTACCACCTTGTTGTGTATGTCCTAATATATTTGTACGTGTTGTAAAAATACCTTTACCTTCTTCGGTAAATAATTGTCGTATAAATTCTGATGTATAATTATCAGATGCTTTTTCATTACGTACAATAAGATAACGTTGTGCACCAGTTTTCATCTTTTCCGCAATAATATTAATATCATTGATTAATTCGTGTACATTAAATGCTTCTTCATAAATGTATGCAGCATCAGCACCACTAGCTAATGCTGATAATGTTGCTAAATAGCCACAATAATTTCCCATTGTTTCAATAATAAATACTCGTCGTTTAGTACCAGTTGCTGATTGCTTAATTTTATCAATCATTTTACAAATTTCATTTAATGATGTATCAGCGCCAAGTGTAAAACCTGTCCCTGGGACATTATTATTAATTGTTGTTGGTAAAACACACATTGGAATACGAAATGGTGGAAAATGTTGACGATTTTGTGCAAATATTAAGCATGTTTGATATGCATTAAAACCACCAATTATAATTAAACTATGAATATTAAAATGTAGTAAATTTTTTGCCATTAATGGTAATGTGTCAGTGGTTGGAAGAATTGGTTGTGAGCCAAGGAATGAGCCACCTTCAGCTGACCATAATGTCACATCATTCCATTCCATTTTTTGAAATTGTCCTGATGCTAGGCCTTCATTCGAATTATAAATACAGTATGGTGTACAACCATGTAGAATTGCTGTTCGTACACAACTCATCACAGCTGCATTACAGCCAGCACAAGGTGAGCCAACATTCATTATAGCAATATTAAAACCCTCTGATATTGGCTCATGTTTACGAATTTTTGATAATGTTCGATACATTTCAACGTTACGTCGAAAACTACGTCCACGTAACTTTAATGCCATTGCCCAATCTTTTATATCCATTGCTGTTTTAACAGCTTTTGTACGTTCCACACATTTCATCAATGGTATACGTACCATTTGATTACCATCAATTGAGACAACACATGGCTCTGATTCAGCATTCATTTCCATAAGTGCTATTGCCGCTTCTGCGCCCATTCGACAACCTAACAAACGATCAAATACCGATGGACTACCACCACGTTGAATATGTCCAAGAATTGTTATCCGTGTATCATATTTCATTTTCTTTTTGATTACATCTCGAATCATTGTTGATGTTATTGCTGTACCATTATGATCAATTGCGCCTTCAGCAACAATTACAATATTAACACGATTGCCATCATCACGCATTTGTTTTAATTTTTTGCATAAAATACTTTTCCAATGAGGTGGTGGTGGCCATTCCGGAATGAAACAAAAATCAGCATCCAATGCTAATGATGCAGCTAATGCTAAATAACCACAATTACGTCCCATAACCTAAAAAAAAGAAAGAAAAAAAAAGTTTAAATTTAAAAAATTTAATTATTTAATTACAAAATCTAATTGCTGTTAATTCCTCTTTCTAAAAAAAAAAAAAAAAAATATTAGAAAAAATTACCTCAATTACAAAACATCGTTGATGACTGTGAGCAGTTGAACGAACTGAATCAACAGCTTCTGTAATTCGATGTAATGCAGTATCTGTTCCAATTGTCATATCAGTGCCACAAAAATCATTATCAATTGAGCCAACAATTCCAACAATTCGAATTGCTTTACATTTTTCAGCATCTTCTTTGCTAATTAATTTTGCATTTAATAATTCTTTAACTAATCCAGACCATTCATTTCGAAATGTATTAGCACCTGTTAATGAACCATCACCACCAATACATACCAATGATGTGATACCATGTCGAATTAAATTTTCCGCTGCTTTTAAACGTCCTGCTCGTTCACGAAAATCTTTGCAACGTGCTGAACCAATTATTGTACCACCTTTTTGAATAATATCCGAAACTGTATTCCAGTTAGCTTCTCGAATAAATTTACCACCATCAACCATACCTTGATAACCTTCATGAATGCAGAATACTCGTGCACCCAAGTAAAGACCAACTCGAACAATTGCGCGTACCGCACTATTCATACCTGGTGCATCACCACCGCTAGTAAACAAACCCATAATTTGACCTTTGTATTTATCTTTCGTAATAACTGATCCTTCATGACCATTAATTGCTTTAATTTGAAATTCTATCTCCGAATTAACATCAGTTGCAGCAACATCAGGTAATTCGTTTATCACTTCTTCAATCTCACTCATCAATTTCTAATTGTCACCTAACGTTAATGACAAATGAGAGCTTAATAATTGTGTCACAACAATTCACAAGTTAAAATAGTCTACAGATTAAAAATTCAAAAGTAATGCTTTATATAGCTTACATCTAAAATAAATAATTTTGAATATATGTATTATTTATCTAGCTATTTTAGTAATTTCTGAATTTTTGAAACTTAATTTTTTAAAATTAAAAAAACAAAACTAAATATGTAAATCATAGCTAATGACAAATTTTCACACTTTAAAAATTATTCAAATTATCCTAAAATGTATGCTAATTCAGTACCTCCAATTATGCATAATTTAATTTCAGCATCAGAATATAGAAGTTATTAATTTTTTTTTTTTTTGAAGTTAATAAATTTACTTATTGTACATTTCATTTATTTTCTATTATTCGTAGTCAAATCGAATTGTAGAAAATTACAAAAATTTTGCATAAACCATTAGGAAATTGTAAATTGTACAATAAAGTTGAATAAAGTTAAGATTATTACAATATGATAAGGATATGATAATGATGATAAGAGAAAAGGATATGATAGTACTAATTAAAGATTATATTGAATGATACTTAAAATTTTATTATAACTAAGAAAATGATAAGTAAAACTAACCTGTATGTTTTAATTAAATTATTTTTGTATTTGTTAAGTGCGACAGCATCAATCATTGTATCAGTAATTCGCATGATGTCACATTCTTTGACACCACGCAATCGTGCAAACATCTGTAACGTTTCTTGGCCAGTCATTTCACCAATAAGTGCATCAAATTGTGGACAGTATCCAATGTGATCATATGCCTTTAAAAAAAAGAAAAAGAGGAAAACTTACAATTAAAAATAATTTTATTTATTTTTTTGTGAGAAAAAAAAATTTTATAACTGAAAGATAATTTTATTTCTTTGTAAGAAAATAATGAAAACACAAAACTTAAATTAAATAATGTATTTCAAAATTTAATAATAAGGAAATAAATAATTTAATAGATATTTTACATTCATATAATTTATTATTTAGTATAAAAAATAAATAATAATTCAAACTTTTCTCCATTCAGTTTGAATATTAAAACCATAAATATATGCATCACCAGCACAACTTTTACTTTCACCAGTTAACATCTGAAATGTTGTCGTCTTACCAGCTCCATTTATACCTGAAAATAAAATTTTCTTTTTTTGAAATAACAAAAATTTAATTGAATTGAATTTAATTAATATTCATATCAAAATAGTAAGTCTTACAAAAAATATTATATATATCAAATATTTATGCTTTTAATATTCAAAATGAATAGAGAAAAGTTTGAATTATTTTTTATTATTTATTTTTTAGAGAGAAAGAAAGAATAAATATATATAAAATACAAAATTTCATTCAAAATTACACACTTCATATCAATATTGATTTATTTGAATAAATACTTTCAGTGTTTATTAATACTATTAATTTAATATTTTAATTTGAAACTTTATTTGAAAAAAAAAAAATAAATAAATAAAATTTATACAATGCAAACCTAACAAGCCGAAGCATTCGCCTTTTGCAACATGAAAATTAATTTTATTAACAGCGTTCACATTTCCATACCATTTTTCAAGATTACGTACGATCACTGACGCATCATTATTTTTCATTTCACGTATTTTTTCTCTTTCCATTATAACATCCATATCTTCATTACACGTTTGAAAAATTTCCATATTAGCTATCTGTTAAAAAAAAAAAACAAACAAACAAACAATTGAAAAAAATTTAAAGAAAAACTTATTTGTCATTTATTTATTTCAAGAAAAAAATTCTAAATTTTCTAAATTATAATTTAAAAAATGCATTAATAATGAAATTATTGTAATTGAAAAGAAAGAAAAATTAAATGAAATTATATAAATTTCTTCACAATAATTTTGTCATTTTTAAATATAAAATATTTCGTACCTAAATTTTTTATTTATTAATTTACTAATAAACGTTTAAGGATTTTATCACTTCTTTAGTACGACAGAAAAGCATTAATTGAGAAAAAACAAATCGGTTCCATTCATAATTTATTTTAATCCTTTTATTTAATTTTATTTTTTTTTTTTAAAGAAAAATAAAATATAATTAAGTATACGAGATATTTATTAACTTGAAAAAAAAACAAAGATGAATATGAAAATGAACAAATGAATATAATTTTAGAAAAAAAAAATTCAAAATTTTGTAGTATTAAAAAAAAGAAAGATTAATTAAAAGAAAATCATATTATATTATAAGCAAATAATATACTTACCTGATTTTTAATTACAATTAGTAAGGTAATTAACCACTAACCTTATTAGTAATACTTATTTTACCATCTCTGTTCAACAACAATCGTTTAATAATTGCAATAAAATTAATTTCAGATGCAGCAATGGCAAGCCAAAAAATGATTGAATGAAGAATTAAAAAAACAATCATTAATGCCATTCCCATTTTACCCGTACTTATCAACATATTATCAACATAAAGTCGTTCTAAAAAAAAAAATTGCAAATTTTTTAATTTCAAAAATATTATAAAATAATTAATTAATTAGAAATTTATATTTAAAAATAAAAATAAAATTAACTCTTGCAGGTCATTACTATATTATTGTTTGTTTAATCATTAATTAGTGCTATAATCTCCAAATAATCTCTGTCAAAATAGCATAAATAAGTTTTTGATAATCACTATATCATAGTTTCTATTATCATTTAATCTTTTCTCTTTTACAGTTTGAAGATTTATTTAAATAATGCCATCTCATTAATCATTATGTAGGCCTTACCAACACAACCACATAAATAAATAAATAAATAAATTAATTAATTAATTAATTAATTAATTAATATCGTTTAATTTTCCATTCCATAAATCCTTCATTCCTTCTTTCCTTTTCTTTTTTTAAATTTTTAATCCATCGTAAATTAATATAATTATAAAATTATTATTTGGAAAAGAAAAAAAAAAAATTAACCATCGCTATTACCACAACATTCCTTTGCAATCTTACGAATTTCATCAATTGAACAATCCACTATTTTGCATGCTGCATGCGTATGCTCGTTTGTGTAAGCTTTCGAAAAGCATAGACTTAAATTATAAGTGGGAAATAATAATGACAAAATGATTGAAAGTGTATTCGCCGTATCTTTGCTACTTGCTTTTTCAACAATCGAAACAGCAACTGCACCGATCATACCTGTTTGAGAGATTGATAAGATAAGGAAATGAAATTAAGTACAGAAAATTAAAAGAAATCATTCATATTTGATGTGATAAACACTACTTAAATAAATAACAGTGCTAATATGAACGACTGATAACAGATAACCATTGCTAATATGAACGACTGATAACAGATAGTCATTGCTAATGGAAGAATTGATAACAGATAATCATTGCTAATGTGAAGGATTGATAACAGATAATCATTGCTAATGTGAAGGATTGATAACAGATAATCATTGCTAATGTGAAGGATTGATAACAGATAATCATTGCTAATATGAACGATTGATAACAGATAGTCATTGCTAATGTGAAGGATTGATAACAGATAGTCATTGCTAATGTGAATGATTGATAAGATAGTCATTGCTAATGTGATAAGCATTACTACTACTAAATAATCATTATATACCGCTAAAAAAAGTTTTCCAATTGCTTTGAATATTTTTCGATCAATGATTAATTGATAAGATCAATCGATAATTATAAAGAGAAATTTTAAATTAGATAAGACAATTTAAATTATTCATTCTTAAAAGGAAAATGACAAATTACTAAAAATGAATAATTTCACTAAAATTGATAATTTTTTTTCAAAGAAATAAACAAAAACCTGTGACAAAATTATAAACACATATGGTAGCATTGCCATTTGTTGGTGATTTGAACATCGTTGAACACAAATAAATAAATGGTAATTCAGCCCAGGCATATAGTAACATAATCACATATACTGTTAGTGTCACCGTACTGCGAGTTGTAAATTCCTAAATGTTTGAAAAATATTTGTAAAAAATTGAATTAATATTGAAATATTGAATTAATATTAAAATATGAAATTGAACTAATATTAAAATTTAACTAACTTTTATATCAGCTATAAAAAAGACAGCAATGCAAAGTGTTGCAGGTATGAGAAAAACTGTGATATCCCATAGAAATGCTGTCAACCAATATGTCCAATGTCGTAATCCATACATTATCTATAAAAAAAAATAATTAAATTTTTTTTTTTTTTGTGATAAATTCAGAAATTAATATCAATTACTGATTTTTTGTTTTTTTTTTTAGCAAATTGTTCTAAGCTGAAAATATAATATTGAATTAGACAATAATTTTAAATAAAACTATTTGAAATTGTTTAGTATGTTTAGAAATAAAGGAATAAATAATATTAAATAAATTAATTTTCATTACTTTCTCCTATTCTTATCACAGCAAATGTTTATTCCTGAAAATATTTCATTTTTTTGTGAATTTCAAGAAATTAATGCAAATACCTGCATATGCTTGGATTTCGTGGTTCTCTCATAAATGATAAAGTTAATAAAACTTGCAACCACGGCGCTTAGTGACATAATAGCTGCAAAACCAATTGTCAACGCTGCTTGATTGATGACATCTTGACTTTTGAGTGTATCTGTAGCTGCTGGAGGTAATGGATGATTGCTGACCTGTTTAAAAAAAAAACAAAATATAATAGTAATTAATTTTTCCTGAAATTTCTAATTCGTAATAAAATTAGTTTTGAATCATTTTATTGAATAAAAAATTTTGGACTAAAATAAAATACTTATTTTAATTATAAATGAATTTATTTCATCGTAATTAATTTTTCCTGCAATTTCTAATTCGTAATAAAATTAGTTTTAAATCATTTTATTGAATAAAAAATTTTGGACTAAAATAAAATATTTATTTTAATTATAATTGAATTTATTTCATCGTAATTAATTTTTCCTGCAATTTCTAATTCGTAATGAAATTAGTTTTAAATCATTTTATTGAATAAAAAATTTTGGACTAAAATAAAATATTTATTTTAATTATAAATGAATTTATTTCATCGGACATATTAAAATTGTCAATTAATTAGAAAAAAAAAAAAGAAAAATTTACCTGTATGGAGATATTACGTTGAATACTTTTACTTATAATTGCTATATCAGCGAGATTAACTGCTAATGGCGGAGAATGTAATGCATAATTATTAAACATTGCTGAAAAGTAAGAAAAAAAAATTTTTTTTTTTGAATTATTTTATAAATTCATTAATTTCATTAATTATAAAATAATAATTAAAGTAAACAATAAATTATAACTTACCGATGAGCCAATCGTGAGCAAATAAATTGTTATAATAATTATATGCAACTGGATTATGTAAGCCAAAGCCACGATCTTTTTGCTATTAATTAATGTAACATAATTAATTTGAATAATTAATAGAGGACAAGAAATTCTATCTAATATTATCGCTTTTTTATCTTTTTTTTTTAAAAAAAAAATGAATCTAAGATGAAAATAAAGAAAATTACTGTATTGGTAGTGAATCTATTTTAAACATTAATATATGTTTGAATTCAAATAAATTTGACTTAGAATAAATCATTATCAGTTTAATTCCTGAAATTTAGATGGAAAAAAAAATTCATTGATAATTAATCTATTCATTGAAAAAAAAAGATTCATAGATAATCATTTAATCAGTAATTTAATTTGTTAATAATTATATAATATTTGAATTGCAAATTACTTGATCCAAACTTTCAATCAATTCTTTGTTGATATCATCAGTGATAGTTAATTGAAACGGATATTTATGCATAACATTTAGAGTGGCTGCTTCTTGTATTACTCTAAAATTTCCATTTTGTTTACAGTTTATTCATTTTTTTTTTGAAAAAAATTAAAATTAGGTTAAGCTATGGTAACAATAGGGAAGCATAAAAAAGTTCATTTAAATTTGAATTTAAATTTAATTTTAATACTTAAATTGAATTAAAACCATGATTAATTGAAAGTTTTATTAATTTTGCTGATGAATTTTTGCGCAAAACTTAATTACAACAGCGTATTTTATTATTTAAACTATAAAATGACGACACAATATACTACCAGCTCTGGTAAAATTAAATAATGCTTGAATATTATTGATAGAATGATTATTTGATAAGGTTCAAAGGTTATTAACTTTTTTAAAATTTAATTATCATCTATTGCAAACTATATACATAAGAAAGCTTTATTAATAATAAGTAATCATATTGATCGTATTTATTAATATATATATTCATATTTAGCATGTACATTTGCTAAATTATTTAATTATTTAATTTAAAAATCTATGGCTTATAATATTAGCTAATTAATACACAATGCTATTATATGTTTAATTAATTAATTTAAATAACAACAATAAATGTTAATATTACTCGGAAAGATTTCGTTGAAAATATGCTGCTTTTATATTTCTAACGTTTATGTTAGCGTCAGTGGCGCCACTATAATATGGTTGAAAATTAATGGGAAGCTTAGGTTGCTCTTTTGGTACTGGTATCATCATACAGGCCTCCATGATAAGTAACATACAAATAGCCTGTAAATTAGGTTTTATTGTTTTGAGAAATGAATATTTTTCATTTTTAAATTTGGAAAACGAAAAACAGTTTACATTTTATCAATAATTAAAATTTTCAATTTTATAAAATCATGATTAAAGAATATGAATATAAAATTTGGAGTATAAGTTATATTTATAAAATTTATAAAATCATAATTATAGACAAATAACAATTTAAAAAAAAAAGAATTTTATGTTATCATTAAAAGAAATTTTAATATAATTCAAATTTATAATATTTAATTCGAAATATATAAAGTATTTTGTTAAAATTACAGTTAAATTTTACGGGAAACAATAATTCAAGTAGGAAAAATGTTCGTTTCCGGAAGAAATATGCAAAACGTTTGTGAAACATTGCGCGAAAATGTTGTCGATAATATGAATAACCTTGTAAATGAGTTTCATATTTGAGCTCTAAAACAAATATTACTAATTGTTTAGTTTTTTTTTTTTTTTCCTTTTTTAAATTAGTAATAAATCATTGAGTGAAGTGTTTTTGTGATAAATTTAATTGAATGTGATAAATTACAACTGATAATCAATATTAGCTAAGAAATAAACATACATCTAATTGTTATATCATTATAATTATAATATTTTACAGTGAAATTTTAGTATTACTTTTTAAAATTACACAAAATTCATTTTTGATTTTTTATTAAAGAAAAAAATTGAAAATATTAGTAAAAATATAAGTGAAAATTTTATATTCAAATTGATACCGGAAACTTCAAAGTGATTTTTAAAAAAAAAAACATAAAAAAGAAATATGATATCTTACAAAAAAAAAAAAAATTGAAAATATTAGTAAAAATATAAGTAAAAATTTTAAATTCAAATTGGTATCGGAAACTTCAAAGTGACTGTTAAAAATATACATAAAATACGATATTTTATAAATAAATTATTGAAAATATTAGTAAAAATCTAAGTGGAAATTTCAAATTCAAATTTGTACCGGAAACATCAAACTGATGTTTTTTATCTTCCGGAATATCGCTGTCTTGTACAGATAGCAATTTTTCAGCAGCACGTTGACATACCCTAAAAATGTCGCATCAACAAAAAAAAAAAAAAAAGATTTAAATTAAAATCCTTTAAATTAAAATGAATTAAGTTTTTTTTGCAATAAATTATTTCAACTAATAAATGAAATTACCTCAAAAAAACTTCTTCCATTGTAGCCACCGATACACCAAATGTACTAATTTCAAGTAAATTTGTATTTTCTTCTAATTGTTGAAATAAATTTGGAAAGCTATAAAAATATTAAATTTTTATTTTTATCATTTGATATTAAAAAGAAAAATTGCTAAATTTGAAATCAATTCTAGTACTGTATGAATTTCATATTATATAAATTAAATACTTTTAATGTAAAAAATAATAATAATAATAATAATTACAAATGTAATCTTATTAAATTTCATTGCACTGAAAGATATTTAATTAATAAAGACAATAAAGTAGCAATAATTCTTTTTAAACTAATTTTTTTATGATACTTTAATGAAAAATTCTAATCAATTTAAACATTAATTATAAAAGAATAATAAAAATTACAATAAAAATTTGGATTAAAGTGAATATTAATTAAATTTTTTCATTTAAATTTTATTATTCAATTTAAAAAAGAAAAAAAAAGCTAAACAAATGAATAAATTGTAAAAATTTACATATATCGTTGATCTGCTGGCAACAAAAATGTCACTTCAAAACCATTTGATGAATGAATGATTACATCGGGAATAAATTCTCGAAGTAATGCTAATGTTTTCAAAACTATTTTAGCATGTTCATCGACTTTTTTATTTTCATTGTATAATATTGTTAATCGATATTCACCAGCTGAATGTCTTTTTTTTTTTTTTTGAAATTCAATTATTAATTTTATTTTTAAATTATCATTCAGAAAAAAAAATTTTTTTTTTTTTTCTACAAAAATTTGTTTGACTAATTTTATAATTAATAAAAGAAAGTACTATTATATTTAATTTATAAATTTCAAAAAAAAAAAATTTTGAGAAAAATAGAAGAAAAAAGCTTTTTTTTTTTTTTGCTTTTAATTCAAAAAAATTACCAAATTTTTTTTTTAAAAATAATCCTGAACCAATGCATTGTAATTCACCATAAGCAATTATTATTATTCGATCACCTAAAATATCCGCTTCATCCATATAATGTGTTGTAAGTAGTATTGTACGCCTTTTCTATAATTAAAAATAAGAAAAAATTATTAATTTTAAATTATTTGAATAATTTTTGAAAATTTTAAAAAAAATATAAAAATTTTTATTGTTAGTGTAGAAAAAAAAAAAAAAGTAAAAATCATATCTATTATTCAATACATTTTAAGATATAATTAATATATTTGAAAAGTTTATTTTTATTTAGTTTTTCAATGAGAAAAAATTTCAAACTTTTTCATCCTGAAGTAATGACCAAGTTTCACGGCGTGAATCCGGATCCATTCCGGAAGTTGGCTCATCTAACAAGATAACCTAATAATGTTAAAGAAATAAGAATGAATGTTACTTTTGGAGAGCAGAGAATTTATTCTAATATCATTATGAAATGCAATTTTAGTACTTAATTATTTCAAATTTAATAATTTTAAAATCGCTTCATATTTCTTAAATTAAAACTTTTATAGGTTTTTTTTAACTTAAAATTTAAATAATTATTTCTTTTCATCATCCAAAATATATTGTTTACATATTCTTGTTATCGCCATTTTATGATTAATGAAAAAAAAAAAAATCAAATTAATAAAATCGTCATTTTTTGAACTTCGAAAGTGCTTCAATTTTGAACTTTTACTTTGAACTTCAAAAGTGCTTTAAATTTACTTTCTTTGGACTTTGAAAGTGCGTTAAACTTATTTGCTTTTGAACATTGAAAGTGCTTTAAACTTATTTGCTTTTGAACATTGAAAGTGCTTTAAGTTTATTGACCTCAGAACAACCAATAAGCGCAATTGCCAATGACAATTTGCGCTTTTGGCCACCAGATAGATAATGTCCATAAACATTTGCTTTATGATCAATCTTTAGTCTTTTCAAAATGTCATTTGCTTCTTTCATTTGCCAACAACGTCCTTTCAACTGCAATTCAAATCTTTTACAATAAATTTACAAATAACATTCATTAATTGCTAATCTTTTCATACTAATTTTCAATTAATTTATGCACTTAACTCTTAAGTATTTAAATAAAAATTAAATGAAAATTAATTTCTTTTTCCTATAAATGTGTCATTTTTTCATTTTAAAACAAAACAAAAAAGAAAAATATTAAATATAATCAATCTCAACAATAATTAAGGATTCTATTTGTTAAGTAAGTATAAATTAAAGCTTTTTTTTCTTTTTTTAACTTGTTTCATAAAAAAATCCATTTCGTGAAAATTGCTTAAAGAAAAAAAAAAAGCTCATCCAAATCATTTTGTTTTCCCAAATAAATTAACTTATTGCTAAAGTATTTCAATATTTTAGTACCTTTGTCATCATTATTAAATATTAGTAAAATGATTCCATATAATAATCAATATTGATAATAAAATAATCATTATCATATCATTATCAAATATTGATAAAATAATTTATACAATTTTAAATTGAAAAATACCTTGCAAAAGAATTGCAAATGTTCCATAACTGTTAAACAATCAAAAATAATATTATATTGTGGACAAAATCCAAGTCGAGTTTGAATTTCTGATAGTTCTTTGCGAATATCATAGCCTTCAATATAAGCTGTACCACTACTTGGCTGTCGTACACCTAAATTAATGAATTTTTTTTTTTAAAAAAAAAAGTTAATTTAAAATATTTCAATTGTATAAATTATTTTGATTGATTCATTTTTAAAAATTTGTTCAAAAAGAAAAAATATGCCAAATTTTTGATATATTTAAAAAATTTAATTTATGTATAATTTTAAAAAATAATTTTTCAAAATTTTCAAAAAATATTTGCTTAAAATGTAATATTAAATTTCGTTAATAATATTAATTTACCTGTAAGAATTGAAAATATAGTACTTTTACCGGCACCATTTTGTCCTAGTAAAACTGTTATTTGGCCAGAATAAATTTTTGTATACAAATGATTCACAGCTTTTGTTTTCTTTCTTGTCTACAAATCAATTTATTGTAATTTAGAAATAATTCGTTAATTTAAATTAACAAATAAAGATTAAAAAATTAGAAAAAGGAAAGCAATTAATTAGATTAAATTCAACTTAATTTTATCCAATAGCTTATATAATTAAATTTAAAAAATTTAATGGATAGAAAAAAAAATTGATAGCTTAAACAATAAAGCAATGAAATGATTAATTAAAAGTTAGGAAAAAAAAATTCTCAAAATTAGTTCATTTTTGAATTCTTCAATTTATGTTTTTTTTTTTATTTTTTACAATTTTCTGTTATTTTTTGAAACTTTTTAAGTTTGCTATAATTGCGCCTAGAACGATTCAGTTTAAAAATTCAAAATGAATTAATCAGTTTGGGCGCAATTATATAAAAAGCCTAGTAAAAACTTACAAAATTACAATAAAGTAATCGATGTAAAAATGGTTTTTCATAAGTTTTGCACAAATCGATAATTTCCACAGCAGCACGCAAAGTTTTTGGTGCAATTTCAATAAATGATGAATCAACGTTTGGTGAATCATTGAAGTTAGTTTGAATATTTGTATTCAAATTTTCAATTTTATTCTTACCGAACCAATAAGATCGCTGTATAACAATTAATCCGTTAAATTATTTTTATAAAATTAGACTAACTTAATTTCCAATGCAAATATAAAATAAGTTGCAAAAAAATTGGACCATATGAGAATGTTAATTTTTGCTACTTTTGAAAAGCTTCAAAAAAAAATGTCTCCTGTCCTAGTTTGTATTTTAGGATGAAGCAAAACTTTAAAAGATAATAATGTAACCACAAATCCATTATCAGTAAATGATTAGGTCTTATCAATAGGTAGAAATGGTACCTATCAAGCATTATTAAAGAGTGACTAAAATTTGTTTATAATAATTTTAAAATAATGAGAAAGTATTCACTTGCAAGAAGAAATACGGTTTCTGTGGTACTCCATCAAAACCAGGATTTACCGCTTCAACATACCAAGTTATGATAGCAAAGATAGTAGCATCAATGATAAGCATCAAAAGGAAATGGCCTAATGTTAGAGGTTCATCTGGTGTTGGATTGACAAATAACTGAGACCATGATGCTCCCGAACCTAATTTGAAAAGGAAAATTTAAAATGAAAATTTTAAAATGATAAATTAAGTATATTCCTTCAAATTAGTGTAAAGAAGTATCATTTGCAAATTGATGTATAATTATTCTTAAATTCCTACATAATAAATTTCACGTCATTTGTAAATTGTTATAGGTTATTCGTGAGAGAAAAAAGTTTAACTTTAACATTTAAATTAATAATTTTAAAATTTCACTTCGACATGTAAAACTGATTAGTAATATATTGTTTGTCTATCACAATTTTGAGTAATTAACAAATGAGTAATCACTTCAATAGATTAATGTATCGCTTCGATAAATTATTAAAATAAAATGAAATTTTATTAAAATTCAATGTGTGCAAGAAATATAAAGTGGAAACTGTTTAATTTATTATCATTAATTAATGAATACTTTAAAAAGAATAGCAATAAACAATTCTCAATTAATTAATTTATGTTTGCTAGGAAAAAATTTATGATTAATTAATTTAATAATTAATTTCTTATTATCAAGAATTTAAAAAAAAAAAGAGAAGAACAAACCGAGTGTTTCATGTTGACACATAAAACCTAATGCATAGGTAAGAGCAATATCTGGATTTAATGCATTTAGTAAACGAATAGAAGGTGAGAAAGGTGAAATTAAATCTTTAACATTAAAGAGTAAATGCCATCCATACAATACAACCCATATAAATGGTATAATTTGCATTGCAGCAGCACCTAATTATTATTAAGTAATTAATTAATTAATTGTTAAATTCTTGGAAAAAAAAATTAAATTTAGAAAAAAGTGTTATAAAAATTTTATATTTAAAAATAAACGTGAAACATTCAGTGAAATATTTATAAACATTTTTTAAAAAAAATGATTAAATTTTAACTTTTTCTTTTTTTTTTGAAATTTTATTATTTTCAGAAAAACAAAATTTTTAATAGGTTATTTTTAAATGAAAAAAAAGAAAAACGGTTTACCGGAATGAAGAAAAGCTGAAGCAGCGAATGCCACGTATATTACGTTAAAAGCGTAAAGCATAAATAGGACAAATGCTATGGTAGGATCACTTTTTGGTGTAACAACGTAGTAAAGTGCAGATAAGATAATCACATTTATTGATAATTTGATAAGATTACTTATAAAATGGGAAAGCCATAGAATCCATTGTGATAAGCCCATTACTTTCATATAAGACTGTAAAATTGATAATTTAATAAAAAACAAACAAAAAATTTTCCTTTTTTTTTTTTGTTTATCTATCTTAACTCTAAATTAATAAGTATGATAATAATTTTAATATATTTTAGCTTTTTATTAACATATAAAAGTTAATTAAATTTAATTTGGGTTTAAAAATTACCTGAAAATAACTTACGCTAATGAAAGATCCTAAAATCAAATTAGTTACAATTACCAATGCATAATGGAATGTTTGTTTTTGTCATTTTACATTTATAATTAAATTTAATTTTAGGATATTCTTTCAATTTATATTTACTTTTTAATAAATTAACAGTTTAATAATTGCAAATTTATGCTTAATTTAACAATAATAATTATAATTATGGATGTTAGATTTTTTCCTTTTTTTTTTTTTTGCAAATTACTAAAATTAATTCTAATTTTAATTTTAATTAAAAAAAAAAAAGAACCTTCATTTGAGTTTCTTTCTCAGTTACAATTGTTCGTGTAATATAAACAACATTAATTAGGAAGGAAAATACAACAACAGTTGATAAGAAGTAGACGCCAAGTTCAATGATAACATTTTTATAAGATGGATAAGGGAAGCGTTGAAGCTAAAAAGAGCAATGAATAATTTTAAAATTTAATTTAAAAAAATTTTAAATAATAAAAGTTTGAATTAAATTTAAAAATTATTGCAAATCATAATTGCAATTATTGAAATCGAATGTAAATGAAATAAATTTAGAATATTATTTATCAAAAATTTAATAAATATATTCGGAAAAAGAAAAATTTTTGAAAATTTTAGGATGAAATAATTATTTTTCATAAAAAAATTTTTTTCATGAATGTATAATGTAAGTTTAGTAATTATAATAATTAATGATATAATTAAAAATTTAATAAATTACCATTAAGATAGAATTATTGGTTGTATTTGATAAATATTGTTGAATGGCAACATCAATTGCTTTTTGTAATGTTAAAAAACCTTCTTGCCAATAACCTAAAACTTTTTTAAATGATTAACGATTATACTAATATTTGTGATATACATAATTTTTTTTAATATATAAACAATTATTCTTAAATTTAAAAAAAAAATTCAAAAAAGTTTAATAGTCATTAAAAATAATAAAAAAAAAACTTTAGAAAGTTAAACGAATTTTTATAAAATTGAAATAGATGAGTTGCTACTACTGTATTACTCATATGAAAGTAATTAATTAAATATTATAATTTCTACCATAATTCATAGTTTTTAATTATTTAATTATTTACAATAATTATTTTACAATAATTTGTATGAATAAAAATTTATTCACCAGGATTTCCACCACTTGGATTGAATTTATGCAATGGTCCAATACGAATTGGTACAGCGAATTTAATTTCAGTATTCCATGGTAATAAAGTACTTAATAATGGCTGATAACGACGTTTGGTATTTGATAATCGAATTGAATAACTAATTGTATCGGTTGAATTGACAGAATTAGCAAAATTTTCATCAAAAACAATACCACCTGTTTTAAATTTTATGTTTAATTTACTGATTAACTTTTAGCTAATGCAAATGCAAATAACAAAAGTTTTAGATTTTTGCTTAAAAAAACAATTTCAAATGAATTACTTTTAATCAATAAAAATTAGTATAATCTTGATCATTAAATTTTTTTTTTTTTTTTTTAAATTCAAAGAATATTAATAAATTTGAAATGTAAACATTAGTAATTTATAAATTTTAAGTGAAACAAAAGTTTATTTAAAATTAAATTGAAAAGATATATTAAATATTGAAGGAAAAAGAAGAAAGAAAATCTTTTTTTAAATTTTGAAATAAAAAATTTAGATGAATACGGTAATTTGTTAATGATTGAAATGATTGTACCAATGATCGGATTGTTGCATCGTACTTCTGACAATGAACTCATAATATACTTTACCAATTCTTCCTCATTTTTTTTAGCTATAAATTTAGAAAAGAAATTCAAAACAAAAAATAAATTAATTAATTAATTAATTTTTTATTAGATATGACAAATGTAAAAAATGTTGAAGACAAAGAGAAAGAGAAAAAAAAGAGTAAATGAAACAAATCAAATTTATGTTATTAATTTCAGTTTCATGTTTTACTTTTAGAATTCAAGTTTTTAACACTAAATATTTATAAAATTAATCATTAAATCATTTTATTTCATCTATTTGCTAAATATCCATCTATTAATTTGGTAAATTGTCTAATTTTAATTAATTAATAAAAGAGAATCAAAATAATTTTTCAATTTATTTATCTCAATAAATGAAATTAATTTAACAACAAAAACTGTTTTTATTTTTTTTTTTTAAAAAAACATCCAGGAATAACACACAAATGAAATATTAGAAATGAATTTTACAAATAGAATTTCTAATTTAAAAATATTTTTAAAAGTTACGTGTAAGTTTTGTTGTAGAAGATATTTTAATCATCATATTTGGATCAATTTTTTTCATGATATCAAGCTCTCCAAATAATACATCATTTTCTAATTGTTCAAATATATCCGAAGTGGTATATCGTTCCTGCATCAAGAATTAATTCAATTTAATAATATAATAAATTTTTTTCTTCCTTCTTTTTTTAACAGAAAAAAAGCCAAAATGATTTTATCACTAAGTACAGCTCATCCAAAATAATTTTATCACTAAATACAGCTCATCCAAAATGATTTTATCACTAAATACAGCTCATCCAAAATGATTTTATCACTAAATACAGCTCATCCAAAATGATTTTATCACTAAGTACAGCTCATCCAAAATAATTTTATCACTAAATACAGCTCATCCAAAATGATTTTATCACTAAATACAGCTCATCCAAAATGATTTTATCACTAAATATAGCTTATCATTAAAGATCTTATCACCAAATATAGCCATTTATAATTAATAGCAAATGGAATTTATTCAATGATTTGTTAAGCAGAAATAATTTCTCATCTAATTGAATACGATAAAAAATAAAACATTTTAACCTGAATAATTTGCATAATTTCATCAATCGCAGGATTAGTTGGTGTGTAAACAATTTCCAAACCAATATTTGCTAGAATATTACTATCATTTGACTGTCTTGTTATATTCAAAAATATACAATCATCATTAATTGTTTTACCACTTATTATATATTGTGTATCAACAATGGTATCCTGAAATTTTTTTTTAAAAAAAATTTTTTTTTTTAAAAAAAAAGAAAGAAATTTAATTAATAAAGCATTTCAGAAATTTCATTTGGAAAAATGATGAATTTCCTTTTTGTTTTGCGCTTGTTTTTCGTTTTTTTTCTTTCATATTTCTTTAATTTTATTAATTATATTAAGCATTAAAAGATATTACATTGATTATTTTAAAATAAATTTAAAATTATTATTGTAATCAAGCTTACAACAAATATTTGTGAGAAATCAGGTGGTATAATTAAATCAATAATTGATCCTTGAATTATCCATGGTTTATATGTTGTTGATGGATGTGAAAGTTCATATTTATGTCGTAGCTAAAAAAAAAAAAATATTTCATCGATCAAAATTATTAATTATGATGATAAAATGAATGAGTCATCATAATAATGGAAATTATACATGAATGACTTTAATTAATTGACAATTTATAAAAAAAAAAAAATTTGAAATTGATGAAAAATTTCAAAAAATTTCATTTACAACTTTGTTATTTAATTTTTGGTTGTCTTAAAATAAAAAATTTATGAAAAAGAATAAAATTGTAAAACTAACCGCAATCATTAAGCCAAATGTAATACCAATTAATAATAATGGAACAATAAATTCTAATGTAGTAAATATTGGCGATCGAATTTGTTGAAGGAAATTTTTCCACATCAGTAATTTTAATTGAGACATTCGTCCATTAACTTTTTTAAGCGTCATTTAATTAGTCCAATATTAGTTAAGTTAGCAAAAATTTAACCTTTTCCTTAAAAACAAAAAGTGCAAAAATTTAAATTTTTTTTTTTTTCAAAGTTCAAAAGTATAAAAAACAATCTATCGTTTAAATTTCATTTTGTTCTTTTTTAGTCCTTTCTTTTGCTTGTTTTCCTTTTAGATTAAAATTAATTTTGATTAAAACAATTGAAAAATCATTACAGTTACTTTAATGTGACAAAAAAAAAAAAAAAACAATAATGACAATGTATGGACAGCAGCTTATACTAATTAATTCACATTCTTTTCAAATTTAACAAAATTTAGTATTTAGAAATATTATTAACAATAGTTTCTTCCTTTTTTTTTTTTTTCACAGCATTTCAAAATATTTAACTAAAATCAAAAAACAAAAAAAAAAAATTATTGCATCTTGCCGATTCGATAGCATTTAACTGTTAAACTGATAACTATAGATGATATTTCTGTCTAGAAAAGAAAAAAAAAGGGGAAAAAAAAAGAAAATGAAAGAAAAGAAATGAAAGTAATGGATCGTTAATTTTGATTCAACAATAATAAAATGCAATGAATAATATATCACATAAAAATTTTATCAGTATGTGAATGATTATCACTGATTAAAAAAAAATTTTTGAAAAGATTACAAAACGAAACGATGATTTGTTAGCTTGTATTAATGTTATCTGTAAAATTTGAACTATACCCACTTTCCATCCCAAAAAAAAAGGGAAAAATAAATAAAAAAAATACTTCCTTATTATCTTTATAATGCAAAATAAAAGAATTTAATTATAAACTAAATTAGCAATTAAAAAGTTTTAAAAAATTTTTGCAATAATTTAAACAATTAGTCCTATATAAAATGAAATATGCTATTAAAAAAAATGATAAGAATATAAGTGAAAAAATTCTACTAAAAAATAAATTATTTAAGAAAAAAAAAAAATAAAATATCAATTTTAATGCTATAATTTGTTCATTTTAGAATGTAAAATGAAAAAGTAAAAAGAAAAGAAAAAGTGATATAAGCATATTAAATGAGAAAATAAATCAAATTTAACTCTCTTAGCAATAATAAAATATGCAAATTTTACATATAATAATTTTAATTTATATTGATTATTTTTGAAATTAATTTACATTTACATTTGTAATTTATAAATAATCTGTCGGATTTTTTTGCATTTTTCACCATTTTTTTTCCTTCCTTATTTTATTTTATTTTATTGCTGAAAATGTTAGATGGAATAATTGTACGAGCTCAGATTATTGCGGTAATTGCAAATATGATATTATCTACAATTGCAATTATAGTTATTCTTATAACGATAAGAATAATTCGAAAAGAAGTTAGACATTTTACTAGTTTTTTTAATTCAATGTTTAAAATTTGTCTGAAAAAATATTTGAATTGTAAAATAATTATTAAAAAAATTTTCTAATTCAAGTACGGATTTAATAAAATTTGATATAATTCAAAATAATATAATTTGAAGTAATAAGACATTTTACTAGTTTTTTAATTCGATGTTTAAAATTTGTCTGAAAAAATATTTGAATTGTAAAATAATTATCAAAAAAATTTTCTAATTCAAATACGGATTTAATAAAATTTGATATAATTCAAAATAATATAATTTGAAGTAATAAGACATTTTACTAGTTTTTTTAATTCAATGTTTAAAATTTGTCTGAAAAAATATTTGAATTGTAAAATAATTATTAAAAAAATTTTCTAATTCAAGTACGGATTTAATAAAATTTGATATAATTCAAAATAATATAATTTGAAGTAATAAAAACTTTCATTTTTAATAAATTATTAAATTTAAATAACAAAAAAAAAAGGAAAAGAAAAGAAAAAAGAGAACTAATATTGTAATTTTCTTTTAATCAGTAAAATGTTCTAAATTATATTTTTATGATATTTTATTAAAATTAATATTTTAGGGTATCACAGAGCTAAATAATGTCACAAAAATTTTACCCACAGCTTTAGATAGTATTAGCTATTGTGAGATTTCCGCTCCTATTGTAGCAACAATTGCTAATTGTATGAAAATACCATTAAATGAGGTAATATATATTTCAAAAATATTTCAAATAAAATGGATGAACAATTTTTGAAAAATAATAAATGTATTTCTATTTGCCATCAATCTATCTATTTAATCATTTTTAGTTTTTCTTCTTTTTGTTTTTCTTTTATTATTTTTAAAAATAAAAAAACAAAAACAAAAAACAAAATAAAATAAAATTTTTAGATTGTGAAAGAATATAAAGAAAGTAGCATTAAACGACGATATATCGCTTTGGAAATATTTCATAGTGATTCGCTTACATGGAAATTAATATGGAAATTTCCATCAAAATTTATTAATTATGGATATATCGGTGAAGAGCTTATTGTTAAAGCAAATTAATTTTCATTGACAATAAAACAACAAATTTATTCATTTAGCAAAATTTATTTTAAACAAATTATTGTTATTCTCGCAAATATTCTTTCACACAATAAAAATTGTCTAAGCTTTTTTAATAATCAATCAAACTTGCATAATTCGACGAAAAAAAAAAAAGAGACTTACGTGTAAACGTGTGAGCTTTTTTTCGTTAACTGAAAAATATCACTATCATTTCACGCATTACTGAAAATGAGATAAGACGAGATACTGTATCGCCAGAAGAGAAATGGGAAACGATGGTAGATAAAATATAGCGCTGCTGTGAGAGACAACCAGACATTGTGTCATTATGGCAAATGTTGTTGAAGTTTGTAAACTGATACGCGGATAGATCATATAATGATGTGTTAACTAGTGATTGAGAGTGATAGGAAATGGTATAACTGATGGGGAGATATTAGAGAGGTATGCGTTGTGAAGATATTACGGAATGTATAGATGTGGTATAGAAATTGAGAAGGCGTAAAATATAAGTGATTGTTAGTAATGAAAGTTTGAATGTAATGAAATTTATTTTATTGTTAATTGAGTAAATGATAAGTATTTGGATAAAGAATAGAGTAATTCTTATGACATACAGTTAATCTTATCATATTTATCAGTAGCCCTAAGTGAGAAGAGGAAAAGATATGATAATATTATGAATCATCGAATGTGACCTTCACATTATATTGACGATATTCTCAAATGCATGGGTGAATGTTTCAAGTTACGTATTGATTGATTTATTATGATGTAAACTGATAATTATGTGTCATCATTATCATCATCATCATCATCATCCTTACTATTATTATCATAATCAATAGAGATGAACGCTACTGATTATGTCATGTTTATAGACAAAAACTTCATACTGTATGATTATTTACTGATATTTTAAGCTGTTTGTTGACATAGTTATTGATTATTTCATTGAGAAATATTTGAAAGTTTTGTTGAAGTACTATTTTAATCAGTTATGAAGTTTAAAAAAAAAAAAAGAGTGTAAACTGTATAATGCATATGAAAGTTAAAAGTAATGATTAACGTTCATTATTTTGGATATAAAATGAATCTATGATATGATATGATATGATTATTGTATAGGTAAATGATAAGATGAGCGCATATGGACATGTAGCTGGCTTACCAATTGAATGCTTAAGTATTGCTGTAGAGCTTCATAAGGAACAATTTGTGGATGAGAATGGACAACAGGTGAGTTACTTAAATTCTTACTTTCTGTAATTATAATTTGTAGTGCTAATTTTTTTTACTCTCAAAATTCTCGACTAATCAAACAATTTATATAGTTTACTTTATCCTTAAAAAAAATTTTTTTTTTTCAAAAATTAAATAATTGAAATCCCTACCAGATTATATCAAAGATAAACGATATTTTTGATTCTGATTTGAGCTTCAATTATTTGCACATTTGCGCTTTTAGGTTCTTCGTGTAGGTTTTAAAATTGGTGGCGGTATCGATCAGGATCCAAGCCGAGCACATTACCCATATCCAGATAGTGTAACTATCTTCAGCACTTACTTGTTATTATAGTTTAATGAAAATTTGCATTCATTTTTCATGTCATATAAAATTGTTAATTTATTATTAAAATTGTTATTCTTTTTTAGGGAATTTACATCACACAAATTGAGCCTGATTCACCAGCAGAACGTGCTGGACTTCGTCAACATGACAAAATACTTAGAGTAAGTACTTTTTAATAATATATATCGGCATTAATTGAAATATTCTGTTCTAATAAATTATTCATCTTAGTTATACAGATCACTGCCTTCATTACTACCATTGCATATCATAATTCGAACTGTCAACAAAATCTCTTAATGTTATTTATCAAATATTATTCATCTGTAAACTAACAATTTCATATTAAAATGTAAAAATGTACTCTTCACTATTAGCTATTACAATCTTTATGAATATACTACGTGTTTTAGGTAAATGGTAACGATTTTACAATGGTAACTCACGAAAAAGCTGTAAAATATATTAAGAAATATCCAGTGCTTCATATGCTTGTTGCTAGAAAAGATGTTTCTGGTTGAATTTTATAAGGAATACAATCACAGTAGTTTTTCTTTTTCAATTCTTCAATTGGAATTTATGGTTTCCATTAAGTCTAAAGTCTGTCATGCTTCATCTTTATTTTAATCTTCCTTCAGAATTTCACTCCCTTCATCAGTTCAGAAAAAATATTTAAACAGTGACTGCTAGGATGACAGTTGAAAGACAAAATAAAAAATTATTCGAAAAAGAACCAGATAATGGACAAATAGTTACTACTATTTCAAACAATAAATAGTTATGTTTACAGATTGAACTTTCTCAAAAAAATAAAATGAAATAAATTAAAAGTCAGCATGTGGCGTTAAAACATTCCAATTATTGGAATGTTTTAATAGCGCTGTCTGACTTTTAATCTATGCAGAAATATTTCGCTATTCTTTATATACTAACATTCCTTCTAAATTTCTTACTTTCAT